GGCAGTACTATATCTACTGCACATCTGAGATTTGGAATCTGGCCCTAGAGGTGAGAGTACTATAAGGCAATAAATATACAGGAAGCAAGAATGAAGAGCTCTATAGATCTAGCACTGCTTGATTCCATAGTAATAAATGAAACTGGATGGTGATGTTATATTAGTTTTACTTGTGGTAGAGCTGGTTGGCAAAAGAGAAAGTTTAATTTTTCATTACATCACCTTGAATTATTAGGGCAGGGTAGTAATAGAACTCATAGTCTACACGAGATGTTCTACCTTGGAAGAGCTGCATTCTGTGCATTCACACATGCATACATTTCAACAATATAGCACAAGGTAACTTCTTTTAAAGAAAAATAGAAACTTTGCTTCTTCAACTTGCATTTGTGCTGAGGATATTGGTATCTTGGTGTTTAGTGCCTGTATTTCAGCAGACCCAAAACACAGTTGTGCTTTTGAATGCTTTTTCCAGCAAAGAAAGCTCTGCCAAATCAGTACACTTGCCATTTTGTTACAGAACTACTTTTAGTGAATTTGCAGCCAAGCATGCTAAAGACTCACGTTTCAAAGCAATTGAAAAAATGAAAGATCGAGAGGCCTTGTTTAATGAGTTTATCACAGCAGCAAGAAAGAAGGAAAAAGAAGATTCGAAGACCAGAGGAGAGAAGGTAATCCTTTATACCAAGTGTATGGAGGTAGTATGAATGAGAGAGGTGGGAGGGGCATGCAAGTCTTCCAGGTTCCTATTCTGCCCTCAGATTTACTTTCCCCTGCCTTTATGTTTTTCCTAGTTGAAGGATTTCCTCTTTGATTGGGGTATGCCTGATCTCACTTTTTTTTTTCCTAAACTCAGAATGACTATACTACTCTAGAATATGTACCATTACTATTCTTTTCCCTAAATTAATGTCTTCATTTTAAAATCCTAGAGCTTGAAAAAAGAGTCTGGCTGGAAAGTTCCAAACAGACCTTTATATCTTTGTGGACAAGTTTCAAGTAGCTGTTTTATTTCTAAATGCTAACACTTCAGTTAAAAAAAAATCTTCCAGTAAATGTATTTTAGAATGACTGCTGATCAGAACTAAAGGTCACCTGTTAAAGATTAATGAATTTCAAATGTCATTGGTCTGCACTGTCAGTACAAGAGACAAAGTGCACAGAACTTGGAAGGCAGATGCCACAGAGTGTCTTCAACAGTGTTAGCATCAAAATATGCAAGCAGCTTTCTTCAATGTAGGGAAAAATACACTTCTGAAATCAAATCACCATTTCTTTACATTCCTTACATAAGTAAAGTAAATATGTGCTCCTTTTAATAAGAAATCAGGGCAAAAGCCCCCCGTCATATAGGAACAAGAAACATCTCTGAAATGCAAAGCTGCTATCAGTACTTAGAAAAGTATTTTCAAAAGAAACCTGAAAAGCATCTCAGATGTTTGTCTTCCAAAAATGCTTTCTTACAGTAGCCCCATAAAGTGGGTCATTTCTGTTATTCCCATATTGCAGCATGTAGGGAACTCAAGAGAAACTGCTTTACTAAAGCTCCTGTAAGCTCATGACAGAAGTGGGATTCACTTTAGGAATTTTCTGATGCCTACTCAGTCTTTTCGGTTGCTGTGCCCTCTTATCTGCCAGCAACATCCATTGAGCTCAGTTAGCCCTGCTTCTGAACATTTGTGTAAGGCTGCACTGTTATATTCTGTGCTTCACCAGAATTTTTAGCTATCTAGAGGTGAATATATATGTAATCTCAAACCTAAGCTGCTTTTGTTTTGTAGTCATGGTTTAAACATTATTGCATTTAGCCATAATCAAAGTGAATAATTCATAAGTAAATTATTTAATATTGCATGAACTACTTCAAACAAGATTTTGTGTTGAATATTGTGTTTATCTTTGCATTTGAAACTAATTATTTCTTTTCTCCCAAAGCCTCTTGTAACCATTTTATGTATTCTGTTTTGTAACAAGTGGATAGATTTTACAGTTTTGTGCTGTGCGGCCTGTCAATCAGTTCAGTCTGACAGCTGTCAATCACTGACACGCAAAGTATTATGGGATTCCCTAGTGAGGAAAGAATTGGTATCTCTGTGTGGTGACTTTAGCCTCCCGCAGTTCCGGTACTTTACATTTTTTTCAGTTTATTTCCTTGTGAAGTGATGAGAGTTGTGCCCAGAATGTGTAAACTGCAAAAAAAAAAAAAAAAAAAAAAGCTCCTAAATGCACAAAATATTTTCAACCTTATTTGCTTCTGTGATGTTTCTGTCAGAAAGCTAAAGGTTATCATGTGCCTAAAGTGTTGGAAGCTTTCTCAGCCCGTTGTTCATAACAAAGAATTAATGCAAAGAATTGTGTGATCTGCTCATGAGTCTTTAAAGTAACAGCTGGAAACAATCACACTTGGATTAATGGTTTCTTAGCATTCTCCAGTTTATTTAGTGAGATAAAAGGAAAAGTCAAGGTCCTTTAATTTTATGTTGAAGCAAGAGAGATAAGGTACTCCATTTAACATTCTTGTTACTTACCTGTGCTTTGCGGGGAACAGAAGAAGAGTCAGAAATATGCGCACAACCTTGATCATTGCCTATAGAAAATTCTGGTAAGCCCAAGTGTTGCCAAACAATCACTGAGGAAGCAGCTCAACAGCATTTCTCCTCCCCTCAGCACCAGAGGGAGGACACCCTCTGAGAGACATCCACCTTTGCTTTCTGCTATGTTGATTCCCTTAAGGATTAGTTTTGGCTTTAAATGCTCCTGCTTTTCTAATACTGCTTTTCCTTAAAGGATGAACAGTAAAAATGTGCCATGTATGGAAATCTTTCATGCCCCTCAAACCTTAGAATTATATCAAAAGTAGTTAGCTGAATTGATTACTTCCTTTATTAGACAAGATGGTAGTGGATTTGCTTTTCAGTAAAATAATGGCTGTTCGCTTTTGGCACAAGAAATGGCACTAGATCATGGGATCATGCTGGCTTTCAGGTTAGAATGAGGATGACAGCTACTGGTTGCTATAGAGACCAGGATGCATGTTGTATGGATATTAGATGGGTTTGTTTGAGGTAGTTTTTGATTGTAATGTTCTGAGTTCTTCCAACTATATTTTAACATGAAAATGGACAAATAAGTACAGGGCAATATAAAAGAAACCTTAGTCTGTTCCATGTGCCTGTTCAAGTACTTTTACTTTAAAGATGTCTGCAGAAGCACCTTTTTTCTTTCTTGTCTTTAATCTTATATCTGGCTGAGAAAGCTTTATATTGTAATATTACTTGCATGTTCAGAAGTTCATCTTTGAAATAACAGATACTGGGTTGGATCCAGAGACAAATGAGCAGAACTCTGCTTCTGCAATAGGTTCTCCTTCCAACTCCAACCCCCACCCCCGGTGCCCCAACAGATACTCCTGGGAGTCAAGGGGTCTCTGGACTGGCATGTAATGGGGCTGGGTGCTGCAGCTGGATGGGAAAATTGGGAGAATTCAGTGGAGCTTCCTTGCACAAACAGAAGTGCAAGACATCACTAGATCCAAGTCAGTATTTTCTCTTAGTAGTTATAAAGTTACTGTGCATCTTCTTAAATGCTCGGTGGGTACAACATTCCACAAAAATTGATGGAGAGTTGACAAATGTACAGTGCACAACACTGAGAGGATATTTCCTGATTTTATTTGCCTTTCATTGATGATCTTCTATGTCTAAATACTGAGCCAAGAGCCAAATACCTGTACTGAAGGAAATCTACACACTATAAGTACTATTATTTGTTATATATGTACTAATTACTGTTAATACTTGAAATATGCTAGACAAACTTAGTTTCTAATTGGCTGCAATCAGTGGGGTTTGGGTTCCTATAAAGCAGTAAGATAAAGGGTTTACAGTGGCACTCTCTGCATGTGTAATACGAGGTTATGGGGAGGGTGTTAAAATGTATGTTGTACTCAGGCTCACAACTAAATAATACCTGTTCTATAGCTAAAGTAACTGATCTCTCCATCTGGTCTCAAAAGAACGTGGGGATTCACCTAGGCAGGTCTTGGTATTCAGCAACATAAAATGACCGGGCTCTGTGAAAGGCTTTTTCCCATGAGTACAGAAGCTTTATTATGTATGAACACACTTCTTTATGATCTCTCTGTGAAGCATATTCACATGTGATTGCAGCAATTGTGCTCTCACAATAACAATCCCTTAAAAAGGTAGCTTTGAATCGGTATAGCTGAAATTGGTGCAGCCATACGTTGATTTACGCAGCAATGTGATTTTTGTGCTTGTGTAAGTTACAAGCATCCAGCCATCTGTATGTGTGAACTGACTAGTCATTCTGTAGTTCCACTCTGTTATACATAAAAACAAAGTCAGTCCTTTAAATACTAAGGAAGCCAGGAGAGAAAATAAATAATCAAAGGAAGACAGAAGACCCATTAACTTTTTGCTGCTTTTGTTCACAAGGAAGAAGAAATGTTTTTTGAAACATTTCACTGTAGACTGAATTTATACTGGGCTGTATGCAGTGTTAATCCTAATTAAATTAGACCCACTGAAATGAATGGGACCTAAGTTAGACTAATGTTGGATGCAGCCTACTGTTTCTATACCAGTTTGTATTGATTTTTAAAAGGCTTTGTCCTAATTCATATTCTAGTTCTGTGTTTTCATAAATAGAGCTATGGCAAATACATATTAAGGCAAATATATAAGCAATTTGCCAAATGTTAATATAATGGCAATATTCTTATGTTGTATTTTAAGAAATAATTTCACTGTGAACCAGGTCAAACAACTTTTCTCATTATTCCATGTGAAACAAAACTGACCCTCATGGTGGTTTTTAGAATCGGTCTCTACTGCAAACTGCTAATCAGGCTGTTTTGAGAAGATTAACTTGCCCATTTTCAGTTTTGATAGTTTATTCCTTATTTCAGAAGCTCAGAGAAAAGAATTTGAGAGTGCACTGAGAAATTTAAGGTGTAACCCACTAAGCACTGCTTCTGTGAAACAACCTTTAGCAGATCTTACAACAGCTGAAATATAAAAATGCAGTTTATGCACATGTGACAGAGCTCTAAACGGTTTACCAAAGCAAGCCCTCAGTACAAATGATGAGTGACTTGAATGCTGAAGAGCTCTCCCTAGAAACCACACATTTCCCCAGCCCTGCTTCCTTAAAGAGGAATGATTGCACAATCATGAACAGAGGTGCCCGATTTCACATACATTGACCATTCCCCCCACCCCCAGTGCAAATAGAGGCTCCATTTCAAATAAATGGGTGGACTGGCCCCAAGCTTCCAGTCTGGGATTTCTTTAAGTTTTTGCAAGAGCAATACCAGTTGTGTGTGATACGCACTACCTCTTAAAAGAAATAACAGATTGGTGTTGCTGGACTGCAGATCTCCCAAGAAAGCCACAAGTGTTGATGCAGTTCTCTTGCACTTGTGTAAATATCCTCTTCACATTGTAGTCTTCGACTATAATGTCTTTACACTATCCTTTAAGGAATGCTATGTCTTGCATTTGGAAGGCTTCTGTATTGTATTATATTATGTTCTGATACATTTACTAAAGTGCCATCCAAAATAACAATGTATTATACACACACAAATGTAAAATTAAGTATTTTTATGAAAAATCTAATTTTAAGTATGTTAACATAGTTTTTGGCCATCATGGTAAGTCTGCTTCTGCCTTTTTAAAAAGAACATTTCAAGGGTTTGGAAAACAAAGTACCTCTTAATGTCCTCCTTTTTTCTTCTTTTTGTCTTTTGTTTAAAACACAGGTCAAAATGGACTTCTTTGAACTGTTATCTAATCACCACTTGGACAGTCAGTCTCGCTGGAGCAAAGTGAAGGACAAAGTAGAGACTGACCCTCGCTACAAAGCTGTGGATAGCTCTTCACAAAGAGAAGATCTTTTTAAGCAGTATATTGAAAAAATAGCCAAAGTATGTATGGTATTGACAAAACTGTTTTCAAAGGTTTTAGATTCTGGATGTTTAAAGCCATATAATGCACTAGGACAGCATTTGGAGGGTATCAGACTGGGGGAGGCTGTGCCACAGCCAGTCTATGTGTGGGACTAGGGAGAATATACCTGCCTGGATTCCATGAGTCACAGGTTGCATCTGTGTACTACGCTACATCAGAGTAAAGCCTCTTACATCCTGGAACTGATTTTGTACTTTGCACACTCCTCCTGGTAAATACCCCTGTGGATGTGTTTTTCTGCAGCCTATCTTCTATGAAGCCTCCCTTTGTCCCTTCTTCAGGGACTGAGCTGCCAGCTAAAGAATTACTTTCAGAGCAGTCATTCACAACTTAGGAGCAGTAGTAACAGCAATATTTATTCCTTTGTTTATTCAGTATGGATTCTTACTTTCAGTTTGTCAGAACCACAAGAATTCTTAATCAGAGCAGAATACAATAAAAGCAATTTTAAAACAATGTTACAAATTCAAGCCAGAACAATAACCAAGGGTCCCTTATAGCCCACTGAATACCTACTGAACTTGATGCACTGAAGCATCAGGGTGAAAAGAAAAAAACACACTTTTAATTGTACCGGAAAATGCTGCTTGGTTAGCTATTTCCAGGATGAGCTCTTGGAAGTAATACACTTTTCTATTATCTTTTGTTCATTATGAAAATTGGTTTGGATTTGACTCTTTCAGAAATTTTCTTTTTGACTTATATATGCAATTGAAAACCTGGGACTGTATAAAACAAGGAGTATAAGCAAGACTGAGTACTGTGTATAAATCATGAGGCACTCATTGCTCCTTTCTTATTTTTCCCTCAAAAGTCATTCTTGGTTCTTCTCATCCTCCTCCAGTATGGCTACAGTTCTTAACCTTACCTCTGTGTGGCATAGTGATTTATTCAGCTACCTTGAAGAATGCATGTGGTTCCCAAATGCTGGACTCAAATGCAAAAGTAGTTCTGGTGTGCTCAAAGGACTTGGGTGGCTGTGATGCAATTTTTCATTTGTGTTTTTCAAACTCTAGTCTCCCATGCTATCTCACAAACTCCTTTTGAAAGTTGGCATGGAGGGCTGCTTTTTGAGAAGTTTAAATCCAGTTTCCTCTTGAACATGCACAACTTGGCATGCAGTTCTTTGAATTCCACCTATCATTTATTTTCTATTCTTAATAAAAGGCCCGGCTTGTTGCAATTTTGCCAGTAGTCCGTCCTTCATCTTGTTGAATTTGAAAAGGGATATCTTTCATTTGTGTAGTTCTGTTTTATTTGGGCATTGAGAAATGTAATGACTATGTTCACATAACTATTTTAAAAGTTGAAATCTTACACTAGTATCAGCAGTAATAATTTCCATAGTAGCTTGTCTAAGTGGATCATATTTTGAGCATGTTAACAGTAGTCTGTTCCATCCTTCTTAATTCCTGTTTGTATTAATACTTGCAGTTAGTTGGATCAGACTCAAATGTGTGCTTTGGCTTCTGTTTCAGAATGTGGACTCTGAAAAAGAAAAGGAGCTGGAAAGACAGGCTCGCATAGAGGCAAGCTTGCGTGAACGGGAAAGAGAAGTTCAGAAAGCTCGTTCTGAGCAGACGAAGGAGATAGACAGGGAACGAGAACAGCACAAACGAGAAGAGGCAATCCAGAATTTCAAAGCTCTCCTTTCTGATATGGTGAGGTTCCTCTGTGTTAACAAAGGCAAGCATGCTCTTCTGTGCAAATAAGATATAAATGTATTTCCATTTCTTTTAGTAAATTTGATGTGAGTGTGGATTTCTGCACAAAAGTCCTATAATCTGAAAAAAGAGCTAATTACAAATGAGCTGTCCTTGTGGGCAAGGGGAAGCCAATGATATATGTAATTTTGTAGCAGCCTTCCTCAGTCTGGTGCCTTTGTGATCTGATGAGCTACAGCTGTTTTAGTGGCCATGTTGACTGGGAATTAGCTGTATACCAATACATTGGGAGAACAGGTTGAGAGAGGCTGCTTTATTGTAATTCCTGGAGTAGGTATGGTGCTCCAGCTGCACTGGACTACAGTTTGCATCAGCCCTTGTCAGTACATCTAGTGGTAAGGGATAATTAAGACTTGTAGGCCAAAACAACTGGAGGATTACAGATTGAGGATAGTTACTCATGGCAAGTCTTTTCTGTGCCATTATGCAGAAAACAAAACCCAGAATGAAGAATGATTCTGTTCTCCACTGAGTAGCAAAATAAATTCCTTTTCCATATTGAGAGCTGTATGCATTAAAAACTGAATGCTATATAAATTTATATGAATGACCTAAAATATATGACTTGGATGTGTGGTGGCTTTTTAATTCTGAAAAAAAATTAAATAGCAAAATTCAAGGTACTACCTAAAAACAAATGATAATTCTTTCAATAATACTGTAGTCAATGGTATACCTGTAGGGCGGGGTGGGCAACTTGTAGCCTTGAAGGACTTTTGGCCTTCAGTCCCCATCATTCTGTACTACTGGCTGTAGTGGGCTGTAGAATGGAATAAGAAAGTGAGGAAATGGAATGATGCAAACCACAAACAGCCTGCTTTGCCGAAGAATACAGTCAATTTCTATAAGTCCCCTTTTGTATCTGTGCTTTCAGCACACATTTTGCATATCTTCCAATTTGTTTTGCATGAATTTTCAGTTTTAAATAAAATAAGCTGCTGGTTAGTGATCTAAACTTCTGTCTCTTTTAGGTGCGATCTTCAGATGTGTCGTGGTCTGATACCAGAAGGACACTTCGAAAAGATCATCGGTGGGAATCTGGTTCCTTATTGGAAAGAGAAGAGAAGGAAAAATTATTTAATGAACACATAGAGGCACTTACAAAAAAGAAGAAAGAGCATTTTCGGCAGCTTCTGGATGAAACTTCATCAGTAAGGGAAAGCTCTAAATATCTAACTTTGTATTTTATTTCTACACTGCCAGTAGCTGAAACTCTCTGGGCAGTAAACAACAGTAATGTGCTTCTTTAGCTGTTTTTCATGTTGTATTTATATATTACTAACGCTATTCTTGAAATGCAATTGCTCTGTCAGTCCATTTTCTGTTGTTTTCTACCTAGAAAATCTGGGGGAAAAGCTAATAAATCTGTGTTCAGACTCACTGCTGCTCCTTCTAGACCTGACATTCTGAAGATGGAGGCAGATAGAAGAGTTTTGTAAACCTATTTATATTGTTTCTTTTTGCGCACAGGGGAGGGATCTCAAAAGGCCATGAAAATATTCACTGGTGGGGGATTGAATAGGTTTCATTCTGTGTGTGTAAATGTGAACAGCTTTTATTGATAGGTTCAGTGTACATTGTATCACATTAAGTACCTCACATTTTATTTTCTTCTAATGTTACTCATAAAATACTTTGATTTCTGAACTTCTTTTTAAACAGACTTGCATAATAAAATAACATTGAGCTCAAACGTGAAATCAAACATAAGAAGCTCTGATCCTCTGTGTGTGTGTGTGTGTGTCTACTCATTGACACTGTATGTTAGATCAGGCCACTATGCATTATATACTACAGATGTTTCAGGCTAGCACAGCATGATTGCATTTCATTTATCAGCCTATAATTGTTCTATTTGTTTCTGTTTTGAAAGATTACCTTAACGTCAACGTGGAAAGAAGTAAAGAAAATAATTAAAGAAGATCCCAGATGCATTAAATTCTCTTCCAGTGACAGGGTAAGAAGCTTTGGGGTGACGGTGTTAACCTTTCCATGTATAATTAAAAGTAGGCATAACTTCTCTCTGTGCTATTTCATTCCATAACAACATAAAACATCTCATAAATTAGGAGGTCAGTTTTGCAGTGTTGATAAGATTTTCACAGTTTTTTTCTATGTTTTCATGCAGAAAAAGCAAAGGGAGTTTGAAGAATATATCAGAGACAAATATATTACAGCCAAAGCAGATTTCAGAACACTTTTGAAAGAGACCAAATTTATAACATACAGGTATGTATTTAAATACTGTAGGACTATGAGTTTTAAAATTTCATTTTCTCTCCCTTTTTTATTTGTATGTCCAGTATCTAATTGGCAATTAGCAATGATATTTTGGGCTGTTTAGTTAGTATAATATGTAGCCCACTCCCAGAAATGCTAAAAAAGCAAAAGGTACTGAAATTTTACTTTTGGGTGTAAACAGATTAGTATTAAAAATGCCCTTCTGCACAGTAAAGGAACTTTTCTCTATTAACAGAGGAACAGCTTTGCATGAGGAAAAATTACCCTAGACCCAGAAGGTTCCCTTCATTTGCACAAGTTCTTACATCCCATATTTTTCTCAATCACTGCTTCTCATATTGTAACACAATGTCTGATACATTGGAGTGCCATCTGTAACTGAGATCTCTGCAACTCTTAAGAGTTCATAAACGTGCTACTCGATGGTTCTTTGAATGCAATTCTTTGATTGTTCTGTATATCAGCATTCCCAAAAAGTAATATAAAGCCATCCAGTTATTTAAAAAGGGGTCCTAATAGGTTGCCTGCTTCTTTGCAGTGAATGATTTTGTGAAGTACTTACTGACTCCATTCATATATACCACCTTTCTGCCAAGGTATTAAATGCAGTATGAAATGTGACATAGAAAAACCTCCCAAAAGTTAAAAATGATAAAGATTTAATCCCAGGCTAGCAGTGCTGGTGAGAAGAGGTCCACAGCCTATACTGGTCATCTTCTACTTGAGTGTTGTACTGAGGGTTAGCTATGGTTGCCATTGAGTCAGAGTGCTATCTTGAATGCAATGATCAGATTGGTGCCTCAGTTGGGCTAGATGACCCCCGGGATATTGGGAGCCATTTTCTGCAGGTATTCTTCAACTACAATGTTTAATTTGAAAGGTGCTATTCTTATTTTACATTTTTGTAGTTTAACTTAGTGCCAATTTTTAAAAGGCATGGGCAGCCTTTATTTATTTATTTTCCGATTTATATCCTGCCTTTTTCCTACAAAGGGCTCAAGGCAGCTTACATCATTCTCCTCCTCCATCTTATCCCCACAACAACAACCCTGTGAGGTAGGTTGGGCTGAGAGTCTGTGACTGGTCTAAAGTCACCCAGTTGGCCCCATGGCTGAGTGGGGACTAGAACCCAGGTCGTCTGAGTCCCAGTCCCATGCTCTTAACCGCTACACCGCACTGGCTCTCTCCTTTGAGCTTGAGGTCCTCTCTTTACCTGCAGAACAGATAATAGCACAAGTAGTAGCAGTGCAAGATTTTTTACACTTTCACATCACTGCCACTTTGCCTCACCCCTGACCTGCAGGGGCAGCCTTATAGGTGGGACGATAGTCCAGTCTCTCTGTCCTTTTGAGTATTTGGCCTGCCTGATTGCAGTGTCAGGAGAGATTTATTTTGGTGGGTGGAGTTGTTATTGAGACACTTGTCCACTAGTATCGTCACCAGTATTCTAGTCCATTTATGTAATGCCCAGTCACCAGATGGTAACACTAACTCTTACACTTAATTGCAGATCCAAAAAGTTAATCCAAGAATCTGACCAGCACCTGAAGGATATAGAAAAGATATTACAGAATGACAAACGTTACCTGGTACTTGACTGTGTACCAGAAGAGAGACGCAAACTCATCGTGTCCTATGTAGATGACTTAGATCGCAGAGGTCCCCCCCCACCTCCCACAGCTTCAGAGCCTACAAGACGAACAACAAAATAATTACAAAGTACTCTTGAATGAGAATATCTGTTAAGTCAAGAAGATTGCATGAGCCATCTGTCAGGTTTAATCATATACATTACCGTGAACCTATTGCAAAACCATCCAAGGAGCAAAGAGAGCGTCTCAGCATTTGTGAACATAAAGCAGTCTCTATACAGAGAGAACATTTGCATTATTGATGCTTTTTCTCTTTGCCGCATGACTGACAAATATTCTAACCATGCAGCTATTTCCAGTGATTTTTAGATCCTAGAACAATGCGGTATCTGTGTACAAGATGTGGATGTTGGTAGCATTTGGAGGCGTTGTTCTCGGCAGTGTTACGTGTGAAAGCCTTGGGATGATTGATGTTTGTGGTTTTGAAATTAAGAACTACAGATATACCACAGATGTCCTAATGGGAGAGCCAAGGTCAGGCACTCTGAATATTAATCTATTGACTGCTGAAGACCGCAGTAAGATTCTGCCCATTTGTGAACCTGAAAATATAGGGCCTAATTCTCTGTTCGTGCCTGGCTTTTCCTGTATAAATCAGGACTAACTCCATTACTGTCAGTTCCAGCATGAGAGGAGAATGAACCTTGCAGTGACCAAATTGAATAAACACCGTTTGATCTTGTTCATGGGCCTGCTTGATTCCCCCCTCTCCCCTTCCTCCCCAGTAGGCACAATCAAGTTGCTTTGCCCGGTAGTCTGGTAACGTGTTGCTGTGAATTGGAAATGCACAGGAAAAAAGTTTCTTCCCCAGGATAGCACGGTTGTATAAATACACTTTTATTTACCATACAGTGATCTCTAGCAGCCTCTGAATTAGAATACAGACTTCCCTTCTGGATATTTCTTGTAAACTATATTCCTGTTTTGAATGTTAAACTTGTGTTTCTAAAGTTTAATTTTGAAATGTTGGGATTGTTCAGTTTACGTATTTGAACGACAATAAACCAACCCTTTTTATATATGGATTGTACATGTTTAGTAATGGCTCATTACATTTTATTCTTTGAGTTCACTAGGACTTGCTCCCAAATTAGTGCATATAGGATGCTGCCTCGGATACAAGAATATATGTGTAGATCAAACATCATACAAGATTAATGGCAAGATAAGAAGCCCTTCTTTAAAAAAAGATGCAATCATTTTCTTCCTAAGGATGATCATACATTGAAGGATGTTGCTTACCCTACTGCTGCAAGTAATGTATCTGTTAAAGCTCCTTTCTGTTTAAGATATTGTGTGGAAGGTTGATTTCCCCCCCCTTTTTTTTCTTGTGAATATTTGCTGGACAACATGGGATATATCCTTATTGGTTCCACTGGGATGTCTGTGACATCTGACACTACTGACTGTGGTAGCTTCTGGATGCTACCTGGCTGGACAGGTCCTTCAGAGCAATATTTCAATGTGTCTAGTCTTCCCTGGCTAACAGGTTTCAGATGTTGGTGTTGAGCAAGTACTGCTCAGTGCCTTGACTTTTGGCCTGTGATGCCCCTCGGAGGCTACAGTATCTTGTGCCCCATACTGTTTAACATATACATGAAAACATGCAAGCTTATCTGGAGAGCTAGATAAATCCTTATGCCGATAATATGCTGTTTTTTTCCTTTGCATCTCACCTGAGTGAAAGGATCTCACTTCTGAGATCAGTAATAAACTAGCTGTCAATGAGTACACTGAATGTTAGTGCTAACTAATATTATGCAAATCACTTGGATCACTAATCCAGTTAGAAGGTTTCAACCTGTTTTTAGTAGGTTGCATTTCCCTTAAAGAACTAGACTCATCATTTGGGTGCTCTTGAAAAAAGTTGGTTCCTGGACACCTAGAATCCAGCTGCAACCAGGAGGGTGTTTCACCAGCTTAGACCCAGCCCATTGTCTGGTATCTTTGTTACACCAAGGCCGATTTAATGTAATGTCCACTTTACTTTGTAGGAATGCCTTCTGTATTCAGAAGTGTAAGCTGATTCAAAATAGCTAAAGGCTTTGAGGGGTTTTTTTTTGGGGGGGGTTAAAGAATATTACCCTCTTACAGAAACTCACTGACTGACAATCCCTTACTGGACTCAATTCAATATGCTGGTTTTAGTCTTAAAGCCTAAAACAACTTATGACTAACATACCCAAAGGTCTATCTTCTGTATTACTCTGGTTGTCCACTGAAGTCAGCTGGAATTACAAGGATTTGCTCAGCTGTGTATATCCTGCATTTCAGGAGTACTTCACATATGTGGCAGACCTTTGCTGTGCAAATCCTTGCCCTAGGAAATGCACCTGGCCCCCTCCCAGATGGTGGTGTTCTGATGCCAGCTTGAACATTTAATTTTCTGTAGGCTTTTGTTCTAAACCAGTATTGCATTTATAATGCCTTACTCTCTTAGTGTTGATTTTTATTTGCTGCTGTTCTGTTTTTGCACTTAGTCTTTAACTGTACCTGGTTTTGAAATTTTACTGTGATTGGCCACCTTGAACATTTCACAAGGAGCATTTCATAAGGATATACATATATAAAATAAATGTATGTTTGGCTTCCTGAATCATTGGTTTAAATCAGAAGGGCAGTAAGAGACTAGCTGTTTTCTAAATGTTGAGACTGGGGATATGAGGTAACTACAACATCTGTTCAGCAGCCTCCATTAAAAGTAGTTTTGCTATTTTAGACCCAAGAAGAATATTTCGTCTTCATCCATTCTCATCTTCTAAGTTCTTATATTCAGAAGAAAGATCTAAAAAAAGTACTATCAACCGTCCTGTATTTTAAGAGTTTCAAATAGCAAAAAAATAAAAAAAATACATCTTTAGTTTCTAGTATTACAGGGCACTTTAGGCCCAAATAAATTTTAAAGGGCATTAACAAATGCATGTGCTTATCCCCAGTGAGCAAGGTACATAAGTTCTGTAGTGTTTTCAGAGAAATTTCAGTACCACTTCTGATGCTCAATTTACATGGGAAACTTTCTGTCACTATAGGTTTTACACACATTCACTCACACATTTTTTTCCAGAAATGGGCTATCTATTGATCATTGTTTATGAAAGGATTGGACTCAATGGCTTTATAGGCCTCTTCCAGTTCTACGATTTTATGTCTGTTGCTTATATTTATCAAGGAGCCCAAGTCAAAAGATAACTTGTAGTGTATTTTCTGTGTTTTAAGAGGTAACCTACAGATGCTTAAAACATTGCATTTACAGTGGCTACTAGCAGTCTAGTACAGCATTTTCATTGGGGGTATTACTTATTCATTGCTTATTAAAGCTCACAACATAAATCTTATCTGTGCTGTATGGTTGACTTCATGAACTTGCCTCTAATAGAAAGTGGAGCTGCGGGAATGAACCTGGATGATATTTGCTATTGTGTTCTCAAATATAGCATTTACCCTAACAAATTCATTTCAGGTTGAAGAACCTTTAAGAACATTGCTCAGACGTAGTAAAAGTAAGGTGTTTCTCAGATAATAGCCAATGCAGATAAAATCAGGGTATTCACCAGCATAGCCATAAGCTTGTTAGGGAAAAAACAATGTTCAATGTAAACCAAGTCAACATGCATGTACTTACTGTGAAACTAAGCCTCTGGGTAGCATATTTAAACTGGCATGAATGATCACACCAATAATCAAGGTAGTTGCTGGGAATGGCCATATTTCCCAGGCATAAACGAAGCAGCAGATTATTTCTTATGCTTGTAAAAACGAAGCAGCTGCTTTCAGGTTATCTTGCAATGGCTGTTGGAATGCAATTCTTACTATATACAGTGGCTATCCCCCATTGTGATCTTTCTTTTTGTTAACAATCTTGGATCATGCTTCCTTGAACTGCAGAGTGACAGAAAGCAATGCTACACCAAGACCAAAAGCAGCAATAGCAACCTCTAGCTTGTGTAACCCTGCAATTAGTAACCTGCCTTTGGTAGCATATAGCTATCAATACCAGCCTTAACCTCCATGTACAACCCATTTTTAAAGCAGTTCAAGTTGGATGACACCTTCTGATAGCAAATTCCAGAATTTACATGCCGTATGAAAAAGTACTTACTTTTATCAGTCTCGAATCTCCCAGCATTCAGCGTTACTGGATGAGCCATGCCAGACCAACCCAAAGTGTAGCTCATCCAGCATTCAGTTCCTAGAGTGTCCAACCAGCTGTGCCTGTGTTGTAGTGTTATATGAGAGGGAGAAAAACCCACTTTTGCTATACCCTATTTTTTGTGTAATATAGACATGTATGCACGTCTATTATCTCCCATCCACTACCCCTCAATTCCTCACCTTTTAAGCTAAAAAATCCCCAACATCACTCTTTCTCACGCAGGTAATGTGCAGACCTCTTGATCGTTGCAGTTGCTCTTTTCTGTAACTCTCAGCTCTTTTTCAGGTGTAGTGACCAATACTGCACAGTACTCCAAGTATGGTTATACCCTAGATTTGTATAAGGTCATTCAAATAATGGCAGCTCTTCCTATTTTATCTATTTAGATTTACCTTTTTCACATGGCATTGATACTTTTAGCTACCTGTCTACCACTATCCCAAGATCCTTTTTCAGGTTCAGTATCTGTCAGATTGGACCCATCAGTGTATATGTGAAGTCAGGTTTTTGTCTTATTTACAGTGTCTTGTCTCAGGCAAACTCTGTTAGCAAATGGAATTCCTTTTTGTTCTAGAAGGAATAGTTAAAAGTTAAATTCCATATCTATCTAGCTATCTATCTGTCCATCTATCCGGAGCAAACAGTTACCTACAGAATCTACAGGGTTACTTAAGTTTAAACCTGTGAAGTTCTTGGAAGTGCAGGCAGTTGGAACCTAAACATTCTGACAACATAGAAATGAATAGCACTAAAAAAAATGTTGTTCCTTCTTCTAGACCTGTTGTTGGAAGTCAGTTTTGCCTTTTATATAAATACAAGATTCAGCAGTTATGAACTGTATTGCCACATGTTGGATCATGCATGCCCAGCACTGAAACAAACCTAATTCTTTGCTGTATATATACGAGTTGGTATTTCTAAAACTACAATGAAGAAAGGAAACATTGCAGCATTTCTAGGACCTTGTCAGAAACTATTTTTAAATGCCACAATTCCATATGTTAAGATGCAAATTGTGTAATTGAGATATGCAACCATAACTTTGTGATATTTTTGGTGGAAGGGAACACCTTCAGTTGCATAATGTGAAATCCTCCATTTCTATACAACTGAAGTGATGCCACCCAATAGCCAACTTAACATAATTTTTGCTCTTGTTCAGGCTAACCTTACTGCCGGCTGCAACTCTTATGTGACTGTAGTAGTGTAATAATTATAATACAGGGTAGATGGATTTCCTTACTTCTATCTTGGAACATGATACCAGAATATAAGCCCCATTTCTGTCACTCATGTACAGCAGGAGGGCAGCTAGCAGGGTGTCATCTAATCAGTTACCAGAAAAACATGATCCTCTTTTTCTTTGAGCACATTTAATACATATTTAGTATAGTAATAGCAAAAAAAAAAAAAAAAAAACCCTGCTCTAATGCATATCCTTTCATTCGTTTTTAAAAAATTACGCCTATTGCTTTGCATGTATTTTGAATGGTAGAAAACCTTTTCAAAGTCCGAGCTTTTATACCCAAAGCATGCACATCATACTTGCTAAATGTATATTACAAATAAACACAGAAGTCCTCCTGCTTTATAGTTCTGGATCATTTACTGACGCAAAGCTAGCTTGCACATTTAACCGATTTAAAACTTTTTCCCCTTCAGAAATTTTAATTTATACTCTGAAAGTGCAGAACATGAATTCTAAGTACAATGAATCATAAAATCTTAGAGCAGAGTGGCCAGAGAGATAGCTGCATTTGTACATAAAAGATGAATGTTGAAGAAATTGATATGTCCCAAGCCCTAATGAACACATGCAAAGGTATATCTAAAGGCAATTTAACAATGCTTTACATGTCTCACATAGCAGTTGGACATTACCCCAAGTAAGCAGAATTATACTGGGCTGGATCCAGACAGTCATACTCAGGCTCATTAAAATCAATGGGAATTAAATTAGACATGGCTCAAGTCCCATTTATTTAAATGGGTCTACTCTAAATATGACTAAATTCCAATGCAACACTACGATTTAAAAATAAATTGCTTTCCTTTTCAGCTTTCTGACCTAAGGGACTTTTTATCACAACCTACTGTCTGCTCTTCTTCATGCTCCCAAGGAATAGGGTCATTGTCTTGAGCATCAGGGACTGCTTCCCGGTCATGCCAGAATTGCTCAACATCTGGCAAAACTGGCATTTCCTTCTTTATTTCCATACTTTCGGAGGTGTGGGGGGCAGGAGGGGTTGCTTTCTCTTGATTCGGAGACTCAGCCTCTGGTGAAGGAGTGATGGGATCCGGGATGCCCTCCGAGTTGTCAGCTGCTGTTTCGTCTTGGTCTTCTGGGGTAGGCAGTGGCTTTTTCAAAGTAAGCCTTTTCCACAAGCCTTTAAAACCCTCTCTGAATTCCTCAGACATGAGTACGAAGATCAGAGGATTGGCTGAAGAGATAGCAAACATCAAGACTTGGGTAGTGGCCATGAACCCTTGTGGAGGAGCAGGCCCGTCCTCTTTCAGATGCCAAAGCCAAAGCCAGGATATCCAGTCAGGGAGCCACATCACAGCGGAGGCGACAGTCACGCTCAGGAGCATCATCGTCAGGCACCTGGATCGGATTTGATTCCTCAGGTTTTGAGTCTTGGTCCCCCTCCGCTGGCATCTGCCATAAGCTCTCCAGAAGTAAAAGAAAGCAAAGGTGAGGGGTAGGCAAAATACCAGCAGGGGATAGAGTTTGACGAAGGCTGACATAAACTCATGAGCGCGGGCTGGAACAATCACAATGCACAGAGCAGAGCCAGCCTCTGGCTCCCAAAGGCTGCTGAAGAACCACAAGGGCAGCGGTATTCCCAAAGCTACCAGCCAAATCGCCAACAGCCCTGCACAGATGGTGTGCCACTTAATGTTCACCTGCTTAGCTGGGTTGTTGGCATACATGAAGCAAGTCTTGGCTACCACTGCAATGGTCAAGCTCTTGGCTGTCATGCAAGCATGTCGGAACCAGTCAGAGGTTTTGCAAAGAAACCAGCCTAGGTACCATGTTCCCTTGGAGTAAGCAGCTGCTCTGAAGGGCACAACAAAGAGGACAAGGAGCAGATCTGCCAGGCTGAGGTTGAGGATCAAGGAATGGATCATGGAAGGCTTCCCTTTCTTTGAGTTGTACAGTAGGACCCCGATCACGCACACGTTTCCTGCAAAGCCAGCCAGGCAGATCACCCCCAGGAAGGCTGGGATCACCACCTTCCACTCCTTGGAATCCTGCGGTTCGTAGCCTCCCGCATAATGGAGTGGCTGAGCCAGTGAGCTGTTCATGATGCTGAAAGAAGATGGTCCTCCGGTAAGCATCCGCTATTTCTGGTGCACGCCAATGAGACTCCAATCACTTCTCCCTCCGTTCTGTCTCTTTTAAACCCTCTGCGGCTGAAACAAATCTGTCATTCCACATGGAATACGAAACCTCTGCAAGAAGCCTCAGCCGGCTACATGTGGATCTAGCCAGACCTTCTCATTGCTATTTAACTGCTGCCACTTTGATTGACAGTCCCCCAGTGGGAGCACATAGCCTGCTGCTTATTAGCAAGTCTAATAATCCATGTAGCAGCCCCATGGAGTAATTAAAATGATTTTTCCACAAATGATGGAAAAGTCAAAAACCACTGTGCCTGGTCATCGTTGTCATTGTCCTCCTCATCTTTTTAAAAAGTAATTTGGAAGTTGATTCTAGATGTTTATTAGAGGAAACCAAAGGACTGAATGGCTCTCTAATTTTGGTGCTGATTTAAACAAAGGCCAAAGCTTAGAGTCATTCTGTAATTCTGTCAAAAACAGGTAGAAGTGGCAAAGCTCCACTGCAGGTGTTAAAGGTACAAACCTCGTTTGGTTCTGGATAAAAATTCCTCAGTGGGAGGTTTAATGATGGGGAGTTGTACAAACTCCTTCGTCTGAGGGCATGTGATTAACATTTGACTGAGGTACAGGTAGCTCTTACCTTTCTTTGGGGATTTTAAAAAATGTATGCTTTATTGCTGCATGCCAAAATTTGAACTTTGTGGAGGAAAAGAGGCAAGTGACAGATGTTTCAATTATCTGAACGATTTCAGGGATGCAGATTTGTCCTTTTACCTATACAAGAATTGCTGCAGGTCAGCTGACATATATAAGGAAGTCTTATTTATGACTAGACATATTCTGTGATTTTAAGCTTTCTGTTATGAGAATATAAAATGTTAGAATGATTGTGATGACATTTGAGCATTTGATTTCTTGGTGATTTGAAGCTTTCTGCAAGTATTTCAGTCACTGTTACAATAACATTGTAAGATAGGATAGGCCAGAAGTAAAGATCACACACATAATATGGCAAAAAGGAGTCTTCCAAGACCAAGCTTAAGGGTGCCTAAGGATGGGGTCTGGAGTGACCCTTGGCAGCCACTGCTTTTCATGAACTCCATGGCTGCCGCCAAGATACCCAGAAGCTCCCTAAGGATCTAGGATCTATGTGTGGCTCTAGAACTCTCTGGGAGCATCCAGTTCTCCAGCCTTGCTTCTTCTTAGCTAATTTTGATATGTATATCTAAGCATTAGTTCTTTGCTAGATGGAAATAAGGTGGGAAAGGGAATGGGGTTGGATACAAAGGGATGCTCCTCTTTCCACGTGGACCCACGCATGCCCCAGCAAGGAACATATAATTATGCTATATCACGCAGGGAACATCGTTTCAGCGGCCTGCTAGAAGAGCCTTCCTTGTGCACGATGCCCACCTTCCTGGCTGGCCACAACAGCAGGAGCATCAGGAAGGGGCCTCTGAGGCCAGCTGTGGACCTGGGTGAGTCCACACCGGTGCTACTGCGGTGATGTGTACCCTGGTTAATATGCTGAACCAGTTCAGTCCTGCTAAGAATGAATGCTGAGTAACATGCAGGAAGAGAGCATGAGGTTTTGATCATGCCTGTGAAATGGACAGGTCTGCCACCGTTGCTTTGATAGAGCTGTCAGTGCTACATGGCTTGCTCTTCCTACCTTCCATGGAGGAGCCTCAGAAGGAAGGACAGGAGGACCTTTCCCACTTCTAATCCAAGCAAAGAGGACAAGTAGATTGTGTATGCATTATTTACTCTCTGCTCCCCAACTGCTATTACAAATGAGCCACTTTTTTGAAGTGACAAGGGGTATTATTTTCACCACAGCACACTTAGTGTGTGTGTGATTCATTCTTGGAAAGCCCAGGCGGCGCTACCTGCTGCTCATTTCTGTGCACAATACCTTGCCTGTGCGGATGGAGGCAGCAGAACAGAGTGTCCACCTTGTGACAATTCAGCTACTTCATTCCCCTACCGTTTTCTTCAAGAACTGTGCCAAAGTATGTATTTGTGTTTCTCTCTTTTCCTTCCTATGCCCACAGAAAAAAAGATGGCAGGCGAGAGATTTATTTTACAGTGAACTTGCATTCCAGCCTGGCAGAAATATTTGTAATGTTCAGTGTTCTTAATCTTACATAGGTAAAGGCAGTGCTTTTTTTTTTAAGAAAAAAGGTGCCGGAACTCATGAAATTATTTACCTTTCACACATAGTCAATCACTGTACACACACCCGCACACATCAGTTGTGTAACACATCATGTTCGCTGCCCACAGTAAGCACTCAGCGCATGACCACATGACCAATCACAAGCCGAGCAGCATCCCAAGCCAAGCAGCGCCATCACAACCAGCACGGACGAAATATGCATGCATCGGATTCGACACACAAGCAGCCCACATGCACCGTTTTAATGATTTTGCCGCCAACCCACTATGCTCAACAGGGTGATTCGAATCCACATGGACCAAACGTCAAATTTTAAAAAGTTACTTTTAAAACCTGGAAAATCTGTCGAAAAAAGGTGCCGGAACTCCGTTCCAGTGTGTTCTATGACAAAAAAAGCACTGAGTAAAGCTAAAGGTTTCCCCTTGACGTTAAGCCCAGTCAGGCATGGGGGCAGTGCTCATCTCCATTTCCTAGCCGAGGGAGCCAGCGTTTGTCCGCAGATGGTCTCTGTGGCCATGTGGCCGGCATGACTAAACACCGAAGCGCATGGAACACTGTTACCTGCCCACTGAAATGGTACCTCTCTATCTACTTGCATTTGCATGCTTTCGAACTGCAAGGTTGGCAGGAGCTGGGACAGAGCAACGGGAACTCACCCCGTTGTGCAAATTCAAACCAGCAACCTTTCGATCAACCTGCCCAGCAGCACAGCAGTTTAAACCAGTGCGCCACCTGCATCCCTCAATCTTAAATAGAAGATTCTTTAAACAAGATACGAAAGGTAATCTTTATTAACTGAGTCATAGTCCAGAACATTTCTGCCTCATGTTACAGCTCCATGTGGCCCCTTATCTACCTAATCAGTGTGACACCAAAATGAATCCCCCATACAGCACAAACACACATCATTAAATCATTAAATTTTAAGAGTACAAACAGAAGTATTAATTTTCATAATGCACATGTTATCATACATGCATGGGCAATACCATACATTTTTCTGCAGCAGTGCTTTGCACTCAGGTATTTTCACTCACACATTTTTTTAAAAAGATGAGTATTAAAGATCTGCTACTAAAGAACATAAATAAGTTTGGTTCCTTGGAGAGCAGTCGTGGTACTATATGGAAAGTGGGGTGACCTTTCAAATACAGTATTTTGATAGGCATTTGTTTAGGAAATTAAGCGGTTGCATTATTTTGCGAGAATATTTGGAATCTTTTGAGGTGGCCTGACTAGAAATGGCATGAGAGAGAGAGAGAGAGAGAGAGAGAGAGAGAGAGAGAGAGAGAGAGAGTGCTCACGTGTGTGAAAGAGGGACTTGACATGCTGTTGTGAAGATGGTAAGACGGAGTGCCAGTGTGGGGCAGTGGTGAGAATGTAGGACTGACTGGGGCTTGGGGGACCTGGGTAATAGCCCTCACCAGCCTTGAAAGGTCCCTAAGTGACTCTGGGCAAGTCGCTGACACACAGCCTAACCCACCTCATCGAGAATATGATGGAGAGGAGGGCAGGGGGGTCATGTATACTGCCTTGGGCTCCTTGGAGGGAAGGCAAGACATAAATGTAACTAACCAATTTAAGACTGGGCACCAATATTGCTTTCCCCTTCTTTAAGCATGGCCTGCAGGTGGCGCAGTGGTTTAAACCACTGTGCTGCTGGGCTGGTTGATCGAAAGGTCGCCGGTTCGAATTGGCACAATGGGGTGAGTTCCCGTTGCTCCGTCCCAGCTTCTGCCATCCTTGCAGTTCAAAAACATGCAAATGCAAGTAGATAAAAGGGTACCAATTCGGTGGGCAGGTAACAGCGTTCCGTGCACTTCGGTGTTTAGTCATGCCGGACTTCACGTCAAGGGGAAACCTTTACCTTTACCTTTTATCTTGGGTCAGATCGTCATCAGCATGGATGTCAGCCTGTTTGGTGGTGGTGCTGTGGGGGTACATTTGAGGTTTCGTGTAAGTCAGGGAGCCTGGTCGAAAAGAGCTGTCTTAGGCAAAGAGCACAAGCCTCCTGGAATTCACAGCTATCAAGCTGGCTTTTTAGGAATTCCTCCTGGAACATAAAGGCCCAATTCTCACTTTCTGGTGAGAACTGACAATATAACTCCAAATCATACATATACAGGCAGGGAGGCATGAGTTTGGAAGCCTAGCCCTGGATGTGCGTGTGGTAAAGCCTTTGGTGAAAAGAGCCAAGCCTCTGGTGGGGAAACCAAACTTCTGGTCAAGTGGCTCAGTGGTCAAGTGATGCGAAGCTGGAGCGGGTGCCGCCCACAGAGGTGTTTCAGCAGATCACTCTTCAGGCTGAATGGCCAGAAAAACACTGTGGAGAGCAGATGTTCTCTGGTTCAGGGTGAGTGACTGGCAGCAGGAAACATCACACTCTTGACGACTTCTAGCTGCCTCTGCCATCACTTCCAAGGATGCCCTGTGGAAATGAAGCTGGGTGCTGCAGTGGTTCTGGTGGCATCATGTTGGCCAAACAGGGTTTGGTTTGCAGGTCTGGTGGACCAGGAAGCAGAAGACTTCCTAGTAGGGATGGCCTGCTTGCCCTAGAGACCCTCTAAGTCACCCCCTCAGCCTCCCACGTGTCATCTGACAGCCCAGAGAATAAGTGGTGATAGGTAGGGGGCTGAACCATTCCCAGGGGGCCCTCCTATGCTCCAGACCTCACATGAGTCCTCTGCTAATCAGGTATGCCCTGAAACGTGGAAGGCATTCCTGTCCAGCGTGAGGGAAAACATTCTAAAGAGGGGCAGATTTAGGAAATGCAGGCAAGTCTCTT